GGAAATCAAATCCCCAGGATTCCGAGGGCCATTGGTAGGTTTCTGGAGGCTCATTTACTGGTGATGGGTGCTGGTCATGGTAGGGGTAGGAAGGTGGAGGAAGTTGGGGGGGATCATGGTCAATACCCCAATGTCAGTACAGAGGATGAATGGGGAGGGGGAACTTCAGAGAGGGTCATGGGAGGGGCTGATGCCAGCACACAGGCCAGGAGGAAGTAAGGCTAAGTAATAAGATAAATAATACTGGTAGAGACTCATACCTCACTGTGATGTTTTGGGTAGAAGAGCTGGAGTGAGAGGCTAGGGAGAGGGGGATGTGACAGCTGGCCATTACTGCTCTTTTTTCCCCCCGAGTAACAGACTGTCTTAGATCCATCCTCTACCCACCCCTGCCCCAGGAAATGCCTAAAATGGTTTCAGCTAGCCAGTCAGATCCACTGGTATGCTGTCAGGAAGCATCTTGTGCCATCTCTCCATCCTATAGAGAATGTTTCATTGGTGAGAGTTTCACTCAGTCTCAAGCGAATTGTGGAGATCTGCACATTCTGGGATGCTCCACCCCAAAGTTCCCAGCTGTTGGTTCCCAGCCCCTTAGGCTGATTCTTCAGAGACTCAAGTCCCTGGATATCTATTACTTCCTTTACTGGAGAAGTGGGTTTTGGGTTGCTTTGTTTTGTTTTATTTTATTACTCCTGACTATGGTGGCTTAGACCATCCTTAGAGAATTGTTCCCCCCCACACATGAGAGAGAGAGAGAGAGAGAGAGAGAGAGAGAGAGAGAGCGAGAGCTCAATAAACACATTGACCCCCTAATAGGAAGAAATCTCACACATGAGAGAGAGAGAGAGAGAGAGAGAGAGAGAGAGAGAGAGAGAGCTCAATAAACACATTGACCCCCTAATAGGATCTAATCTGGAGCTTAGCAATTACCAGCACCCCAAGCATGCACATCTAAGCTTCTATATTGTTCCTCCACAGTCCTTCTCAAAGTCTCCCTGGAATTAGTTATCCATCAGCAAAGGAAAATGTCACACAGGGTCCTCACTCACTTCTCACTGGTCAGAGCATCCTATAAGTGTTAGGCTACCTGAACAAATGCCTAGAGTCAAGGCAAAGCAGTTTCAGGACCCAGTTTCTTTTGATTGTTTTGAGTATAGGTTTTGAACGAGAGTAGAAGAATCAGGCAAGAAGCCAGGAAAGATTTAAGAGGGTGGAGACAACTAGAGAGAGAAAGCAAGAACCCCACTTCCAGAAACTGTAGTACATTTTCCACTAGGGAAGAACTTAGTACAAATTCAGAATGGCCATGGAAGTGCTACGAGATGGCTGCCAGCACGTGGCTGAGCAACGAAGGAAGCAAAGAATGAGCCAGGGTCAGAAACCAAAGAAGGCATATGGAGAGGCAGCTGCCTGCCAGTTAGGGCAGAAAGAAAGCTACATGTGGTGGCTCAGCACTTGGAAGGCCGAGGCAGGAGAATTCCTATGAGTTGGAGGTCAGTTCAGGCTACACAGTGAGTTCTAGTCCTAACTAGGCTACAGAGTGAGGCCCGATCTCAGAAACAAAACAAACAAAATAAGAGAAAACAAGAGCAGAGCAGACACCCCCCACCCCCAACCAGAAAAGGGGTAACAGAACTGCATGTTCTGCCTCGGTTTCCCCAGTCCCTGACCACACCTGAGCATGGCACACTGTGTGGCTGAGACTTCTGCGCTTCACTGGTGGATGTAGAGATGTAGATGTGTGTTCTTGGAATTCACATAGAAGCCAGCGGACTTCCTACCTTTTGAAACATTACTCATTGACCAGCTCTGATGCCCCTGGCTGGGAGGTATAAATACCACAAATCACATTCTTATGGGAGACCCCAACAACCAACAGCACACTTTGGGACTGTCCATGCAACAAGTGCTCTGTGGGAAAGAAGTTACATGATGAATGAAACAATACTGTATCCTCTGGTTTTCCATAAAGTCCTCCTGGGCTGAGGGGTTAGGGGTTGGGTTTTTAATAAAGGCTGGGTAGCTCCAGGTAACCCAACAAAGAAATATAAAATAATGGTGCATTCTGTTTCCAAATGCATTGGAAAGAAGGCTGTTAAAAATAATGGAAGCACCCCTCTAAGCTGGAAATGAATGATACTGATAAAACTTGACAAATTTGGGACAGTGAAAAGATGAAGTTAGTTGTATTATGCAATTGTCCCAGCTCAATAGCCTCCGTGGTGGCTGGACACGGCAGTCAGGACAGGAGCAGGGACAACTATGTGCTTCATTACTCCCTTCCATGGGGAACAGACACAGCACAACCCCCAAAATCTGATGAAAGTGTCGCTTCTCAGTTTAACTTCTTCGCCTGCTCACTCATCCTGCAGAAGGTAGGGAACAAGGACCAGGTGGGCCTGTGCTGAGGTCAGAAGTGAGAGCCAGTGGTCAGAAGTGTGCATGCTCTGGGGTTGCAGTGGGGCGGGGGCTTTCACCCGGATGGAGACCGTGAGCAGGAATGAAGTGAATTGGGCTTCACTGGCAGGGTCCCAGAGCAGCCAAGGAGACAGAAAGTCTCTTGAATTCCACTCTCCTGCCAGGGAAGGAACTCACAATTCTTTCTGCAGCTCATTTAAAGTGGCCTCACTTGGTGGATTATATTCCATTCTTGGCCCCCTCAACCACTTCTTACTATGAGAAGGAGGATATTTGTAACTTAGAAGCGAAAGGAACGAGAGTGATCTAAAGGAGCCAAGGAGGGTTGAGCGTTGAAGTACCTATCAACCACTTCTTACTATGAGAAGGAGGATATTTGTAACTTAGAAGCGAAAGAACGAGAGTGATCTAAAGGAGCCAAGGAGGGTTGAGCGTTGAAGTACCTGTTGTGTAATACTTGCAATTTCCTGATGTTAGCCTGTCCCTTTCCCTAGGAGAGGCAAGGTCAGGATGGAGGGAGGTGTGGCTATTGGAGTGTTAGGAAAATGAGCTAAGAAGACCCACTTTTTCTGGTCACCCCTGAAGGTGTGTTTCCAGTAGTCTCCCCACTCAAGGGGCAAGGACTAGACAAAAATGGCAGCTTCTGAGGATCAAATGACTTTATACACACTGACTCATGAACTAGCTTGCAAACACCTTATTCTTTGCACTTGACATGGGGCAGCCTGGCGATTAAGAAACTGGGTTGGGTTGGCAACAGCAACTCGGCTTCATAGAAGAATAAGGGTAGTAATAATGGTCACAGTCACTGTAATCCTATCACTGTTCCTGCAGTGTGCCAGACACCATTCGAGGTGTTTTACTTATATAATCTAGTTGAATCCTCACACTTCCTTGCACAGCTAGCATCGGTAACCTCTATTTCATCGTCTCAGGCAGAGATCAAAGCACTTGGAATAAGTCTAACTCAACCTCTAATTCAAAAACCCCTTTTCACCATGCATGAAAGGCAGGCAGGAAGTTGTGGAGGTGTTCAAGAGCTGAAGAGGAACAGTGAGCTTGAATGTGGTAAGAGATGATGAGCAGGCATGATCACTCCAATCCCTCTACCGAGGCAGCAGGGAAAACTTTTACAATTTTGTCATTCACAGTTAGATTGGATACATTCTCTGCCCCACCTCCACACCCCTCAAAAGAGATGGAAGGAAGTAGCCAGCAGGAAAGAGGTTTTGGAGAGTAGAAACTGGTGTCTGTAAAGAGCTAGGTACCTAGGTGTGCTAGATTTTGAGTGCCTAATGAGAAAGCACAAGAGATAAAAGACACCTAAAGTATTGGAATAATGATAGTATCCGTGCTCTAATAAATACCTGGTGAGGTTTTAAGCGCAGTCAAAGCACCAATTAAACCAGGTGGAGAAGCATGCAATTGCAGGATGCAGGCAGCTGTATCCTGGTAGGTGGGAGCATCCATACACACTCCCTGCCTAGAGGGTGAACAACCTCCAATCCTTTCTTTTGAGGAACCTCTGAGCCTGCTGTGCATCTTAACTGTCATGGGCATGACATAAAGATTATGCGACTCCCATAAATCAGAACAATCTCCTCTGAGTGCATCTTTCTCATTTCCTTTGTTTCTAGTTTTTATGATCGATGGACTCTCGTCTGCTGAAACTATGATTGAGATCTTTTGTTTATCCATGCACATCATTAATCTATATTAGTTGCCAGTCTTTCTACATGTGATTTATGCATCTGTTTGTCTTCTGGGTTGCATCCTGAAGGACTGAAGTTTCATAAACATCCCTTATGAGTTAAAGGCACATCTGGTGTTATCTGAAGCCTTTATGCTTCGAAGCCCCAGAGCTGCCATGTTGAGCTGTAGGAAATCTGACATTGCTCCAGACCGCAGCGACATCTCCACCAAGAGGTGGGCAGGCCCAAAGGCTCAGGTGTCACAAATATTAGCCTGAAATGCTAAATTAGTAGGCTATCAAAATATTAACACTGTAATTAGGTTGTCACAATATTGAATCCCAAAGAGCGCTATAATAATAGAAGTTGTATCTCTCCCGTGCTGCACCTCACTCCATCTATGGCCATTGAGTAGTCGCTGCTTGTTCTACAGAATACACCACTTCTATTCAAATTGCTGGCTGAGCATTTTGCTTGGACCACGGACACTTTCCTACTGCAAGCTGGAATTAATATGCTGATAATGTTGCAGAGTTCTAGAAATGACAAAGACCTTTTCAACAATCAAAGCTCTACTTTTGTCCTCTAAAGCATAAAGAAAATATTATAAAACATAATACTAAATTTAAAAAATATACTGGAGAAATGAATCTATAAACCCCTGAGGGGGGAAAAAAACCACAATTATATCTCTAGACATAGTTGGTTAGGCATTTAGCATATCTAGGAGCTAAGGTGACAAGGTATTTTTAGGAATTTGTGATGAAGTTGTGATTTTAAAAAAATTATGACACTTCTTCATTTTAGCATAGACCCTCAAAGTGAGATGGTTGAATTTGTCTTTATCGATCTGACAGTAACCTTCCTGTCCCTTTTGTTTCCTCTTTCCAGAACGTTCTACTCACAAATCACCAGAAACCCAAGATGTTGGTGTTACTTGCTGGTATCTTTGTGGTCCACATCGCCACTGCTATTATGCTGTTTGTTTCCACCATTTCCAATGTGAGTCATGTCCTATTTATTCATTCATCGAGGGATCTTTTAAAGATTCACATAAAATATCACAAAAGGGGTTTAAGTCATTAGTGCAGAGAACTTCTAGCTTATTTGTGGGGGAAAAATTAAACACACACTCTTACATTGAACAACAAAATGACCAAGGGATAAAAGCAAGTGTCTAGATCTTGGTGGGTATATTGGGATACAGGAAGATACAAGGGGCCTTCTTCAGTTTCTACAAGGACCTTCCTCACAGCAGAGGTGGAAAGTGAGGTGCACTTGGAAGATGGGTAGGAAGATGGGATCTTTTTAGAGAAAGAAGGGAAGTGGAAGAAAACCAGGGTACATGCTGGAGAGGAGAACTGGCAAGGTGCCCATGTGTGATGGGCATGCTCAAGATTGAAGGGGGGATAAGAGATCTTCCCTCCTGCAGAGAACCTTGATCAGAGGAGCTGATGGAAATGAGAGCAGACTCTTGCTTTGGTTGTCCGATTGACCAATTCAAGTTTTGAGCACAGAGCTGCAAATCAAAGTGGAATTTTGCAGGATGGTGCCAGGTTAACAAAGCAACATAACACTAGCCCAGGGAGCCAGCCAATCTCTCTGAGCCTGGGGCTACTCTGACCCCTAGTGGTCTTTTTTAACACCCAATTTGCTTGTTTAACATCCTTGTCTCGGACAAAAGGATACAGCTTCTTGGAGTTAAAAGCTAAGCCTGCCCATCATTAGGAGCCAGAGGATGGCTCCAGAACTGGTTCCAGCTCCTGCTGTGGTTAAAGGGTGAATAAGTTTTAAAATCCAGATAGGATAGCTTTGCAAACTTCAGGGGGTGTGAGTACAAGCCAGGCTAATCGAAGCATTATGAGATAAGACACGACCTCTGCCCATCCCGCCTCCTCCAGATCCATAATAGAGTCATCCTGTCTGTTGACTCCTGTGCCTCTTAGGATCACACATCTGATAAACTTCAAAGTGTATTAGGGATGCCCACATGCTTCATACCATGCGATACGAGGCAGCTGAGAGGGCAGGTGATCATATACCTCTGTGCCTCTTTCAGCATGTGCATGATTTATGCATGGGTAGACAGCACTCTACATTCATTTTTTATTCCAGAAAGGGGATTCTCTTTCTTGGGCCAGGCTGAAAGGGATGCTGGCACCATGGTGAACCTGGGGTTATACATTTTGGTCACTCTTGTGTTTTTGGCTGCCCCTGCATTGAAGTCCTTGCTGCACAGTTTTAATATGGGATCACTTTGTGTGTTGTCCATGCAGACAGCCCAAGGCTGGCCCTTCTGTATAGATGAAAGCAGTATTCAGACCTCCAGATTCATTATTATTTCCCCGGCAGCCCTCCCATTTCTGGGTTGTCTACAGCTGGGTATTTTCCCTTATTTTTCTTTTTTTAAAGAAAAGATTTGTTTTTATCTTAAAAATTATGTGTATATGGAGCTGAAGAGATGGTTCAGAAGTTAAGAGCACTGGCTGCTATTGCAGAGGATCCAGGTTTGGTTCCTAGAACCTACAAGGCAGCTAACAACCCTCCATAATGTCAGTTCCAGGGGATCTGATGCCTCTTTTGACCTCTGTTGACATTGAACACACATGGTACACTTAACATACATGCAGACAAAACATACATATAAAGTAATTTTTTTTTGAGAGAGTCTTCCTATAGCCCCAGCCAACTGGCCTGGATCTCGCTATGTAGACTGGGCTGGCCTCAATCTCACAGAGAACCTGTCTCTGTCTCCTGAGTACTGGGATTAAAGGTATGTGCCACCATGTCCTGCAAAAAGTTAAAAAGAAAAAAAAAACCTGTGCGTCTGTGTATGAGTATGACATGTATATGCAGGTACTTGAAGAGGCCCGAAGAGGGTATTGGAGCCCCTGGAGCTGGAGTAACAGGTGGTTGTGGGCCTCCTAATGTTGGTCCTCTGCTGAACCATCTCTCCAGTCCTTCTTTTGTTTTGTTTTTTTGTTTGTTTTTTGTATTTTGAGATAGGGTCTCATGTAGCTCAGGCTGGCTTTGAACTTACTATGTAGCTAACTGGCTGTGAACTCCTGACCTCTCTACATCCATTTCTCGGGTGCTGTAATTACAATATGTGCCACCACCCCTGATTTAACATTTTTCTCCCAGTTAGTTAGGTACTTAAATGAAGTAGTCTATTAGAGTGTTTGAATTGTATGTACTTAAAACCAATTTCCTCATCCAGAGATTTTGTTCCTTTGAACTTTAGAATTTTAAATCACTATAGTAAATTATTTCCATTAAAAAAATCTCAAACCATCAGGAATGAATTCCAAAAAGGGAAAGTGAATTTTTTTTTTCTTGGCTACAAGTCTCTCCTGGAGCCTTTCTGATCTTGGATCTAATTTCCATGAAAAGAGACAGGGGGCTTAGTGGTACTCACAGCTGCATGGGGTGTCTTGGTTAAGATTTGGTCCTGGGGCTGGAGAGATGGCTCAGTGGTTAAGAGCACTGGCTGCTCTTGCAGAGGACCCAGGTTTAGTTCCCAGCACCCACATGATGGGTAACAACTGTCTGTAACTCCAGTTCCGTGGAGTCCGAGGCCCTCTTCTGGCCTCCATGGGCATTGTACAACACAGGTACACCAATATACATGCAAGCAATACACTCATACACATAAAATTATAATAATAAATAAAATATTTAAAAAAGATTTGGTCCTGGCACACTGATCTGTTGTTTTCTTTTTAAAGTGGAAGAGCAGTTCTTAATCATCTTTGTTTCCTTCTGGTTTTAGGTCTGGGTGGTTTCAAATACTATAGAGTCATCTGTGGGTCTTTGGAAAAACTGTACGAACGGTAACTGTGAAAGCTCCCTGTCATATGGCAATGAAGGTATGCATGCAGATACCAATCCCTTCCCGACAGTGTGGTCAGGGAGTCTCAGGTCATCTAATGCCCTTGCTCTCTACCCTACTACCCTTTGTCCACAGATGCCCTCAAGGCAGTGCAGGCCTTCATGATCCTTTCCATCATCTTCTCCGTCATCTCCCTCGTGGTCTTCATATTCCAGCTCTTTACCATGGAGAAGGGAAACCGATTCTTCCTCTCAGGGGCCACCATGCTGGTGTGCTGTGAGTATCTCAGGGCAGAGTCTGGTTTATGGGGGACAAGCATCTTTTTCTTTGTATGTTGCTGAGGGGTTGAACCCAGAGCCTTGGGCAAGCTAAACAAATGCTCTACCCTTAAGCTAGATCCTCAGCTCTGCATGTGAAGCTTTTATGGGGACCTACTGCAATGCTGCAGCCATCTCCTCAGATTTACACATGGCTTCATGAAACTGCCTTGTGTCAGTCTCCTCTGGTTATCTGTACCCTTATTGACAACCGGGTTTAGCTGCTTAGATTAAGACCCCTCGTTTGTTTTATTATTTTTTAAAAAAAATCAGTGCTTCTAGCACCTACTGAGTGACTGGACACCATCACTAGCACCTCTATGCTAGAAGAAGGCAAGAGGGTGGGAGTCCTTGGAAGGATGCCACCACTGCCATGATGCAATGCTCCATCTTCTCCTATTCTTCCCAGAAACTCCCAATTTGGTGAATTGCCCTGCTGGTCCCCTGATATCTACTTAGATGTACAGGGGTATAGGAAAGGCAGGTAGCAAACTTAATGCTCTGTGTTTTACTTCCCCCTTGCCTACAAATCAGTGTAGATGTGACACCTAGATACCTCTAATTCACCAACACACTCATTAAACTTGAATCTGGGCAAACAAACAGAACTGCCTTTTATGGACAATCAGACTTCATTTTCTCATTGCCACGAGGGAAATCAGATCTTAAAAAAAATGATGAAACCTTTCTCTCATATTAATGTTAACACAGTGATGCCAACCATGGCCATGTCTTTGTCCCCTGCAGGGCTGTGCATTCTGGTTGGAGTGTCCATCTACACTCATCACTACGCCAACAGTGACAGGAACTTTGCCCCTAGCACTCACCATGGCTATTGCTTCATCCTGACCTGGATCTGCTTCTGCTTCAGCTTCATCATTGGTGTTCTTTATATGGTTCTGAGGAAGAAATAAGGGTGTACAAATGTATGGGGATGGAGGGAGCGGGGAGGGAAGGAGAGAGCAGCTTAATCTGGGAGGGAAATGGAAGTCATTGGGTAGGAAAAAACCAAGAGAAGGGAGGGGGAGGGGGAGGGGAAGGAAGAGTGGGGAAAGCTCAAACCCAAACCACTCTGGGGCGGTGTGTGTGTATTCTCTATTGCCAAGTGCCTGCCCTTTGGAGAGAGGTTGTTGCTACTATGCTGATGCTTCCTTGAGGTGGCCAGAGAGCCCCCTGCTAGCCACCAGATACACCCTCCATCTGCCCTCAGTTGTACACATGGTTTGAGTCCCCATCGATTGCCATACCGCTGACTCCACTCCTGGGTCACACATTGAGGTCTTGTTGACCTATGTCATTAAGTTCCAGTAGCGGTACAAGTCCTGTCAAGAGCAGATACAGTCTCCGTGCTGAGCGTGCTAAGCCTGGAAGCTGGTCTGTCCTTATAACCTGAAGCAAAGCATCACATTCAGATCCCAAGTGACTGTAGGAGGGCTTTGGCCAGGGAGCCATTGCCCCTATTTGGTGGAATTTTTGGCAAAAGGGCAGGAAGAGAGAGGGTTTATAAGACCAAGTTGGTGGAATTAGCTAAACCAAGAAACAGAGGACCTGGGGGATAGGCAGAGCCTCCATCACACTTCACAAAGCTGTCCCTCAGAGGGGCCTCTAGACTCTTGCTCAAAGCCAAGGCAGCTCTTCTCTTCTGGAGTTTCTCTAGAGCCACTAGTGCACCCCACAAACTGTAAGGTCAAAGGGCTAGTGCTGTGGTAGGGTTAAGTTTTTTAGGATTTCCCTCAATGCACACAATGTATCTTGTAGGTATAACAGGAGAGAGATGCATGTGGCTCCTTGCAATATTATCCCGTTACTCTTTCTCTAAAATTATGAACTTTTGAGGAAGTTCTGTTTAATGATCCACACTGGGGTCATTGTAACTTTCACACTGGCCCCAGTGGTCCCCCTCAGTGGCCTTGCTCACATTGCTTTTCAAATGAGGCGTGGCAATTCTCGATGCCAATTAAATCACACAGAAACAAACCTAAACCAAAGAACAAGTCCTTGGGGGGGGTGCTTTCTAGTTTTAAAGAATTAGACATACCATTTTTCAGTTACAATAAGAATAGAGTATCTGCTCCCAGGAAAAAAAATTTTTTTAAATCCCATGAGATGAATAAAGTACAGGTGATGGGCAGATATTTTCTTTTTTATTTTTTAAAGCAGCAGAAACTCTTGGGGTATATCCAGTCAACTAGTAGCTGAGCTGTCAGGGGCCACAGGAGTATTTCTATAGAGGACTTAGAAGTAGTGTGTTTATTCCTGGTTCAGCAGGCAGAGCTCTGCCTAGAGCAGCTATTTTAAAGCCATCTCAGATTCTGCCTGAAGGGTTTTCTTTTTGGAAATCATTTCCTTTATTGCCCTTAGAAGATCTACCCTGGGAAGAGTCTGATGAATCTTGCCTACTTCCTTCCTTTAGGGTTCTCTTTATCCATTTCTTATATACCTTTCTTTTTTTGGGGGGGGTTGTTATGCCATAATTACTGGTATTTATGTAAAGGGACTATTACTGAGTATATTTCTCTATGTTTATTCTGTTAAAGGGAATGCTAAAGGCAGGTTACTAAATTAAGTGGACTGAGGATAGAAAGATTGTGAGGCAATGAACTTTTAAATTATGATTTGATCATCCCATGATTGGTCAAGGCTGTCTAATGTGCAGAAGGGTATCTATTAGATATTAGCTATAGCCAAAAAGTCTCATTTTGTTAAAAAGTTGAATTGTAACTGGAGTGAGCCGTGCATTCCCTTGCCTTTTACTTTTTTTCTGTGACATTTACATCTTATGTAATTTGCATTGCATTGGTGGATTTTCCTAGTACTGTATTTGGCTTCTTCGTTAATAGATTATTTCATATACTATAATTGTAAATATTTTGATACAAATGTTTATAACTCTAGGGATATAAAAACAAATTCTGATTCCATTCACTGTGTGACTGTTTTCTTTTTTGAAGAATGTGAAAAAATGGATAATAGTGTCATTTATTCCTCATTAAGTTACCTATCAGTTTGAGTTGGAGAACTTGACATTTATTTGAAACATTCAGCTACTTTCTGGGAATACCTTAAGGATTTCTCTAATAACTCTTTCAGGCAACTGAATATTATTGAATATAGTTTTGTCTTGCTTTAATTAAACCTCTTAGGCAAAAATGAAATTTCATGTAAATAGATCAGAGAGATTATTATCACCTTAAATCAGAATGACTTGTGACATTAAGAAATGAAACCCTTACAAAGTTTTGTTGAAATAGCCAGGTCCCAGAATCTTCACAATACATAGTGACTCATAAAGGCTTGCATTTGCGTATACTTCAAGGAGTCTATTTATTGCATAAACTTGGTCTTCCCTGCATGGACTCTATGGGTTAAGGCAAGATCAACTGTTTTCTGTGAGCAGTAAGGACTGACATCAATGGTGGATATTGTGTATCTCATTGTTATGTCAACAGTATGATAAGCATGGTTGATTGGTAATCTTCTGGTCCTCTCAGGTCTTGCATGAAAAAAACTGTCCAAAGCAATCCTACAGAAATATGCCATGAAACATGAAACTAAAACTTCACTATAAAGGGCCGGGGGATATCTCAGTGGGTAAAGTGCTTGCTCTGCAAGTCTGAGGACCTGAGTTCAGATCCCCAGTATCCATGTATAAAAGCTGGGTGTTGTGGTGTGTCCCTGTAACAGGTCAGAGACAGTGTCTTCCCAGAACTTACTGAGCAGTTAGCTCGCCAACTGACTAGAGCTCCAGGTTCAGTGAGAAACCAACCACGCTGCCCCCTAAATAAGGTAAAGCAATAGAAGAGGACACTCAGTGTCAACCTCTGGCCTCCACATGTGCACATGTGGGCCAGTGCATCCACATGCTTACACATGCATACAACACACACACACACACACACTTTAACACATTTGAAATCAGTGGATCAAGTTGCATTGATTTTTTTGATGCCTTCTCAGAGACCCATACGATTTAGTTGTCCCTTTGACGCACGGTTTCACTAGGTAGGCCTGGCGTGGAACTGGAAATATAGAACGAGCTGGCCTCAAATTTGTGGCAACACTTTCACCTCTGCCTCCCCTAAGTGCTGGGATTATCAGTGTCTCCCCCTCCCCCCAGTGGCTGCCCATATGATTTCTTAGACTGCTTTTAGGATACCTTCTTAAGAGAAGTTTCTCTTCTTAAGAGAGTTTTCCCAGGGATCCTTTCCTACATGTCACTCAAATCGTAGCTGGACCTTTCTGACTGTCCCTCCATCCCTTTCCCACAGAGGTCTTTACTCAGGATCATCAACAAACTCCCAGACCCATCTAAGGTGTCTTCTACAGCCAAGAGGTCATCTTCTACTTCAAGAATCTAGGGGGTAAATCGGGTTATATTCGGAAACCCTGTGGGTGGGCTAACCAGTAAGAGACTCAAGCAAGATCCAAAGTGGCAATTCACATCTTAAAGTCTCCTGAAATATTTCCTCTTTAGGGCTGGTTTTCTTGAGGCTTTCAACTAGTTGAATAAGGCCCACCCACATCATGGAGGGCAATCTACTTTAATCTCCACCAAGTTAAAAGTTAATCTCATCCCCAAACATCTTCACAGAAACATCCAGAATGATGCTTGGTTACATAGATGGATACTTTGGACCAGTCAAATTGGCGCATGGAATTAACCCTCATTGGGGAACATTCTTATCAAGGACAGGGTGTACCAGCTTTCTAAGCATTTTTAGAAGGAAATTTAAGCCACAGAAGCCTTTATGGTACATCTGACACGTAGGTCTTCAAGTTAGTAAGATAGTAAGGCCTGAGAGTTATCTTGCAAGATGAGCTTGGATATTCTGTGAAAGGACAGGAAGTTGTCAGATTCCCTTGTATAAAGGGGTTTAATAAATATTTGTGCAAATTAATGTCTTTGATAGAGACAAATTGAATTAAAGGGCATCTTACCTGGAACAGGGGTGTGACCATTAAGACCTGCATTGGTAAACTGCAGGAATAAATACCATACCCACCAGCTGGGAACATAGAAAGGGACTCAGACATGCATCTCTGCCTCCCTCCAGCTTCCGATGTAGTTTGGGGGCAGTTTTCATACCTACAGGGAGTGGAAGAAAGTTTGGGGTTTAGGGCCCAGGGAATGTAAGGGCACTGCTTCTTCGGGGGTGGGGGTGGAAGAACTTTCTGGTTCTCAGCCCATCTCTGAGATCCTTTCCCACTTCATGAGCGATGAGCTGTGCATTTTGTCTTGATACACGGTTTTGCTGCACAGCCCTGACTGGCCTCCAATTTGCAGTCCCCGGCCTCCTAAGTGCTGGGATTACAGGCAGGTATGTATCACTAGGCCTGGCTCGATGTGTACCTTGTATGTCAGGCTCATCCTCACCTTAGTCTTCTGGTGAATTGCAGAACAACCAGAACCTGCAAAGTGAGCCCCAATTCAAGAATGATTGTCCAAATGACAAATGAGAAACACTAGTATTCTAAGAGTAAAATTTAACAAAGCAGTTTGCTGAGGAAGTATTTGCTGAGTTCTTGTTGATTTAACAATAGGTTGGTACTAGCCAGGTATAGTGGGGCATGCCTGTAGTCCCAGCACTATGGAGCCAGATGCATGAGGATCACAAGTTTGAGGCCGGTCTGGTCTACATAATGAGTTCTAGGCAAGTTAAGGCTATACAGCAAGACCATGTCTCACTCTTTCCCCACCCAAAAATTCATAATTGGTTCACTGACTATCTGGGCTAAAAGATTTTGGTAATCTAGTCTGGAAATTTAATACTCACTAAATTTATTTTCAGTGGCTAGGATGTAATTTAAGGAGCTTGCCCCTTCAAGCTCTTCAGGAAGCTGACAGTGTCTGATGGGGGATGGGTTGGAGTGTGAATGTGGGTCTCAAGTCAGATGTCTTGGCTTGATTAGGGCAAGGGAATGACTTTTCTTTGGTATGTTCACAGCTTTCCATGGAATGTGGAATAATATGGCACTCAGCATGATCCTGTCAGGATGAAGCAATATTTCTCTTCCTTCCTTCCTTCCTTCCTTCCTTCCTTCCTTCCTTCCTTCTTTCTTTCTCTCTGTCTTTCTTTCCTTCTTTCTTTTTTCTTTCTTTCTTTATCTATCATCTATCATCTATCTATCATCTATCATTTATCATCTCTATCTATCAATCATCTATCTATCTATCATCATCATCTATCTATCTATCATATCTATCTATCTATCATCTATCTATCATCTATCATCTATCTAATCTATCTGGCATCGTAAATTGGGTCTTCTGAGGCTAGGGGTGCTTAGTTGACTTCCTTAATTTTATGGCACAAAATCAATTTTAATTCTCCCATTAGGATTAGCACATGAATGTCATAAATTCAGTTTATTTATATACTTTTGAATGATGCCAGCTCCTGAGTATTATAATTTACATACTTTGGAGCATTGTGAAATCCTATTTTTAATTTGATTTCACTACTTTTCTTGTCTTATAAAATACTGACATTCAGCCAGGCGTGGTGGCACATGCCTTTAATCCCAGCACTTGGGAGGCAGAGGCAGGCGGATCTCTGTGAGTTCGAGGCCAGCCTGGTCTACATAGTGAGTTCCAGGACAGCTGGGGCTACAGGGAGACCCTGTCTCAAAAAAGA